GCCGTCACAGTGCTGTCAGCGTGATTATTTTTTCCAGAAAAAATGGATTAATGGATTCTGGTTCTTAATTCAAATTAAGAACCAGAAGAATGCTCACATGGAGACACTAAACAAGGATCCCAAAGACCGGTATCTACATAAGCTTACCTCTGTTAGCAATGTAGCCTTAGATCCATATGAGTTAGCCTCCAAAGGAACTGACCCAGCTCTATTTCCACCAACAACAAATATGGACGAAAGCCACAGTCACATGTTTCTGTCTCTCCATGTGGTTTATGAGCTTACAGTAGTCCATTATAAAGCAAATGCCTGGGGTCATGAGTGCACTTCAGACGTATTTTGAAGATCTAAAGTTTGTTTTGACCTTTCTATTTTCATCTAGCCTGGCCTTAGCCATCCGTACACTCCGCTCAATCATCATTTCACTGCATGTAACGTCTGGGTCTGGTCCTTGTGTTAGCGATTACAATTGGTTGAATTTCGACCGACCATTCAGAGAGCGCGGAAGGCAGGTGTTGTAGTTAATTGTGGGTGACGTCAAGAGTTTGCCTCGAACGGGCAGGTTGGTTGTAGTTTGGCAATGGCGAAAAATGCGATAGTAAAGTAATCCGGTCTGGTTATATCAAGAAATTGAAGCCGTAGCAAGAGGAATGTTTAGCAAATGTAATCGCTAGAAAAAATTGTGGCGCTACTGTTTTTAAAACAGGACGTCAGAAAATTGGAGAGGCTATATCGCCACTCCCACTCGGAGCCTGTCCACAGGGAGTGGAAAGCAGGTCTCCGAAACTACAAGAAGGCCCTTCGCGGGGCTCGAACTCAATACTATTCAACTTTAATAGAAGCGAATAAAAACAACAGTAGATTTTTGTTTGGTACCGTCGCTAAACTCACAAACTGCCATAGCGCAATCGAGCCTAAAATTCCAAGCTCACTGAGCAGTGTCGACTTTCTCCACTTCTTTAATAATAAAATTACATCCATCCGTGACAAGCTGGAGGAGGTTGCTCCTGCTGTTAGTGGTGGACAGGTTGAAGCGGCATACGTGACTTCCCAATTAGACTCTTCAGTGGGCCTTAATAAATTCATGGCTGTGAGCCAAGCAGAGGTGATCTCTGTGGTCACATCCTCAAAAGCCTCAACTTGCATGTTAGACGCAGTCCCGACATGGCTCTTCAAAGACATACTTCCTTTGATAATTGAGCCTATCGTAAATATAATAAACGCATCCATACAATGTGGCTATGTCCCACAAGCTTTTAAAACCGCGGTAATCAAACCCCTTCTGAAGAAAACAAACCTGGACCCAGAAATACTTACAAACTACAGACCGATCTCGAACCTCACTTTTATATCTAAAATCCTGGAAAAACTTATAGCTGAGCAGCTCCGCTGCCACCTGCAGGAAAATGATATGTTTGAAGTCTTTCAATCAGGATTCAGAGCTCATCATAGCACTGAAACGGCACTAGTCAAAGTCACAAATGACTTACTACTAGCTGCCGATAATGGACAAGTGTCAGTGCTGGTCCTACTGGACCTTAGTGCTGCATTTGACACAATAGACCACAGCATTCTACTGCAGAGGCTAGAATGTGATATAGGTCTTAGAGGAACAGCCCTTGGCTGGTTTAAATCCTATTTATCAGATCGATATCACTTCGTCAATGTGAATCAGGACTCGTCGCCTTATTCTGGAGTGGAATTCGGTGTGCCGCAGGGTTCGGTACTCGGACCGATTCTTTTTACTCTCTACATGCTGCCACTGGGAAACATTATTAAAAAGCATGGAATTAATTTCCACTGCTATGCAGATGACACACAGCTTTATCTGTCGATGAAGCCTAATCAGACAGATCAGCTAGAAAAGCTCAGTGCCTGCATAAAGGACCTTAAAATGTGGATGACTCTTAACTTCCTACTTCTCAACCCGGAGAAGACAGAAGTGATCCTACTCGGTCCGAAGCGCCTGCGTGACTCCCTCACTAACCAGATGGTTACTCTCGATAATGTCAGTATAATACCCAGTAACACTGTGAGGAATCTTGGAGTCATTTTTGACCAAGAACTCTCCTTCAAGGCTTATATAAGCCAAGCAACAAAAACGGCGTACTTCCACTTACGGAACATCGCTAAAATTAGGAATTTCCTTCCTAAAAGTGACGCGGAAAAACTCATTCACGCGTTTGTCACCTCAAGGCTCGACTACTGTAACGCTTTACTGGCAGCGTGCCCTAAAGCCTCTTTGAAGAGCTTCCAGCTCGTTCAGAATACAGCAGCTAGGATCTTAACAGGTACCAAAAGGAGGGAGCACATAACTCCGGTGTTAAAATCACTCCACTGGCTCCCTGTGGAGTACAAAATAAAGTTTAAAATCCTACTCTTAACATATAAAGCCATAAATGGCTTGGCTCCTTCTTATCTCCAAGACACGTTAGTGTCGTATCAACCAAGTCGAGCGTTGCGCTCACAAAACGCCAGACGTCTGGTGGTCCCTAAGGTCTCAAAGGTCACTGTTGGTGGCAGAGCATTTAGCTACCAAGCTCCTTTACTGTGGAATCAGCTTCCCATTTATGTTAAGGAAGCAGATACGGTCTCCACATTCAAGGCCAGGCTTAAAGCACTTTACTTTAATTTAGCATATAATTAGGTAATATATAATATGTAGTGTATATATTATATATATATGCTGTATTATGTTATATATTATGTTATATATTATTCAATAATGTATTGTGTTATGTTGTATATTATGTTATATATTATGCTGTATGTTATTCTTTATTCAAGGCTAGGTTTAAAACAGTCCTCTTTAGTTTAGCATATGGCTAGGAAGGTAAGACACGGAGAAGGTTAAACTCCTCAGAGTGTTAGTCAAGCTGCATAGGGAGTCAGTTTGCTGGGAGAAGTATGGTAACTTGAGCACTATCCTCTCCTCCTTCCTACTTTATCTGTTTAGCATTTTTAGGATTCTGACTGTAGTTTGTTCATTGCTATTCACCCGTTGTCCCATTGTCTGTTTCATGGTACGATGACGGGATCTCTGAGCCTGGCCTCTTCCATCTACACCTGCGGACTGCCCCGCCCGACCCGCCTGGGAGTGCTTCAGTCCTGCACCGGACCTGTCCACGTTCAGCGTCCACTGGTCCGCGTCCTGTAGCTAGCTTAGGTCCTGGATCATTAGTCTGTCCGTCCGGAGGAGCGGATCCCTTTCTCATATGGGTCTCCCTCCCTGTGGGTTTCCCTAGTTCTCCTCCAAGGTTTCTCACTTTTTCCCACTGGGTTTTTTAAGAGTTTTTCCTTGTCGATGCAGGAGGGTCTTGTTGGACAGTTAGTGTCCAACAGAAAGGATTGGTGATGATCAGGACACTTTAGCATTCTACAACATGTATGGACATTTTCTTCTGTGTGTGCTTTATACTGTATTCTTCATGTGTTTTAACTGTTGATTCTCTGACCTGTGTTGGTGATTTCAATGGTTTTGTTAAGTCCTCTGAGATGACTTCTGTTGTGACCTAGGGCTATACAAGAATAAATTGTATTGTATTGTATTGTAATTGTACTCCCCACGGGATCCGTTAGCGGCAAAGGAGATGGCTAGGCTAAATGCTAAATGCTAACAACAGACTCGGGCGCACGGTAAACTCAGATCCAATCATTTCAATCTGCAAAAGGAGTTAATCCCTCCTATCTGTAAACGGAACTCATTACGTATGTAATGTAATTTGTACTATGGTGTGGTATGACCAGGCTAATTTTCTTTTGGATTGTTAGAAAAATCTGACACGGGTCCAAACAACACAACAACCATTCCCTATTGTCCCAGAAGAGGAGGAGGAGGGACACGCCATTTCAGCATCTGCCACAAGCTTAATGACAATAGTGGGATTTGAACCATAATAATAACAATAATACATTTTACTTAAAAACGTCTTTCAAAACACCCGAGGACACTGTAAAAACATGGCTAAAAACAAGTAGTTTTTTGTTTTGTTTATTTGGTTGGGACAGTACATCACTCCGGATTGCTAATTTGCATCCGTTGTCCCACATTCGCACTCACAAACACCCACTCATTCACTCTGAACAATTGCACATGTTTTTAGTAGGGGAAACCGGAGTACCTGGAGGAAACCTGCACAGACACGAGGAGAACATGCAAACTCCACTCAGAAAGGCCCTGTTCTGATCAGGATTCAAACCCAGAACCTTCCTGCTATCCACTCAGCCACCGTGCCGCCCTTTATTGTTAATTTAAAAACATTAGCAATATTAAAATCAGAAAACAACAGAAGTGGACGAAGGAGTTGGGGGGACTTGACATTTCGGGAAAGAAAGTTTGTAAAGGTGAGTTTTGAGTCTGGACCGTTGCCAATCAGTGCCCACAACCACCCACGTATTCCTCAGACAAAACCGATTTGACCAAAGTCCGAGCGAACAGCCGAGTCCTGACAATTAGCTCTCCAAGATCCTTCACTAGTCTAATTATAAATATATTAGTGGACAAGCAGCGTGCAGGTGACAGCATGACACAGAGGTAATTTTGATACTCGCCGCTCCCCATCGACAGAGCTAGGAACCCTGGGGTATTTGCACTGTGATCCGACACAGACACTTCAGCGGGAAACTCTTGAATAGCAAATGAAGTAGGTGGGACGCAGAGACAGTGTGTTTGAGAGCGGGAAAGAGAGAGAGAGAGAGAGAGAGAGAGTGAGGAAGAGGAGGAGGGAATCCAGAAGGTAGAGCTGTAGTCAGGGAACAGTCACACTTATTGAGAATATTTCATTGGAGCTTGTGGACGCTCCTGCTTTCACGTTGACACCTGGATCGCCTTGGTTTGGCAAAGTCCTGACGATATGGACGCCTGGAAGAGGATATGTTCTGTTATGTCATCTCTAAGCTGCATTTTAATGATCCAACATCGCAATGCACAGTGCTGACAACGAGTCTTCATCATCACCCTAAACTACCAGACAAAGTTCTTATTATCATTACCACGCAACATGGATTTTCAACATGCTCTGGTTTTGCTTGCTCTCTTCTTTCCATGCCAAGGTAAGAGGCATTTCAATTGAGCGTCTGTAACCTTGAGTTGCATAGAAAACTTTTTTGAGATTGATTTTTTGTTTGAATGTGTTGCCATAGAGGCTGAAACTAGGATGCTGCGCTTCGGGTGTTTTTCTATTATTTGCATCCCTTGTGTATGTAATGGATTGGTGAAAGTGCATTGATCACACAAGGACAAATCTGGGTCCGATTGTATTTAATATCCAGGCGTGGAACTGTTAGGGCCTCATTTTTATGCAGAGAAAATGTGGTGATTTTTTGGAGCATTAAAGCTGCATTAACTCACTTTATTTTTGTATTCATTACAAAAATTCAATCCATATCCATGCGGTGCATTGGGATATTCGTCCTTTTGAAGAAAAAGTAGCGCAGATTTGTGTTGGCATGTCATTTTATTTCAGATTAAGTTTTCATGCAACAAAGAAGAGAATTTGTTTCAGGACCAGATTGTGACCAATCACAGCGGACCACTGGCCCCCACTTTCTTGAGAAAAGCCACAGGTCTCTTGTTAGCACAGACTGCTGCGGTAAACAAGCGGCGGAGGCTAACCTGAAACTTCCCGTGTCTTTGTTACCGGTTACTGCGTACACAGCCAAACAGCCGTCCAAAAGAAAGTCTCGTTCCTCCGCGCTTTCCGGTTCTATCATTCTATGGTCACGCCATCCACGTTCAAATGTGCGATCCATATTGTGAGACGTGAGCTCCGTAAACACAGGCTGAGTGGGGGGTAGTGGGGGGTGATAGCTTCGTGAGTGTGGGGAGGGCGAGCAGAAAGAGCGAGGCCTGTGCTCACATTCAAAAATTTCACAAAGTGAGTTGGTGCAGCTTTAACATGGTTTCTGTAACTTTTTAGAGAACGTGCTGTTTGTCCCAACAGATAGAGTTAATTGTTTTGGACAAATCAGACCACAAAATACTGTCTTATTAGTATTGTACTGTAAGTGAGAGCCCTTTCAGTCACCATTTGATGCTTTGGGCCGAGAGTTGAGCTCTTTTTCCCGTATGTTCAATAAAGCAGGTCTAAAAATATTAAAACTTGTGTTAGAACTAAACTGTTACGAGAGTGAGGTGCTAGTATAATGTATTTGAGAGCACAGTTTTAAATGGGTTTATTATGTATTTTTAATTATTTGTCTATTACTTTCCAATTTAACTATTATTACATCTCTGTTTCTTTTAAAAGGCTTCCTCTCAAAATGGGTTTGTATATGGTTCCTCATCCCATTTATCATTTTAGATTTTCTGTGCTGTCCTTAAAGTTTCTTATAATCTGCACCATATATACAAGAAAACTATCTACTGCAAGAAAACTGAGTCCACAAGTCTCAGCAGCTCGTCCTATGTCTCCAAAAAATGATGTCTTATTCACACTCTCTCTGCGACGCTCTGATGTCCTGCTCAAGCATCAGCTGGAAGTGTAGAGGATTTAACAGTGTTACATGTTTGATTTTATTTCATTGTGTGAGTGAACGCTGTGAGGCTTTTCACGCCTCTCTGACCTAATACACCAACTCTGTTTTGTTATCAGCCTTTTGTGCATCTTCAGAATACAGGGACAGGGTCATTCGATAAAGAAATTCACCTCTTTCATCTGAGGATGAATCGAGCCACTGGATAAAGAAGGCCTTTTCAACACACACAACATTTATTTCAGAAAGTGACAATTCTATTATATATGTATTCAAACACAAAAGCCATGATTTCATTTCAATTTCTTAAATTACCGCAATTTATTCTGACTTATTTCCTTTTTTTGATTTGTTGGTCTGTAAATATGAAATCAGAGTTCCCCAGGTGAAAATGAGGGTGTATTTTTTATAGCATTTTTCACGTTGTTCACTTAAATCCTTCAGGAACAAGAGGACTGTGTGTGTGACATCACACTGTTATTATTACTGTGATGTCACTATCAACAAAACCTGCTTCAGGAACTAATCCACAAACTCAGAAGATTAGAATTATGAAAAAATGAAATTGCTTTCCCAACCTCAGTCTGTGCTGTCGTCATAACCAGGAAAAGGAAGGAAAAATCTTACTTTCACTTTGGTTTGTTAGTGAGTTAGTTAAAACGTTTATAATTCATGTAGTTATGTTTGTATGGATGGATGTGTTTCTGCTGCTGGACACCTAAATATCTCCTCTTATCTCCTAGACATCTATCTTCTGAGTGGAGTTTGCATGTTCTCCCCGTGTCTGCGTAGGTTTCCTCCGGGTACTCCGGTTTCCCCTACCACTAAAAATATGTCCAATAGTTCTGGCATGTGCTTCCTGTACTGGCGACCCCGCTCCCATCTCTGTGTGGAGTGAGAGACAAATGCCCAAAAATTAACAATTGTAAACCGCTTTGAGACTCAGATCTGCAGTGAAAAGGCGGTATATAAATAAATAAAATACTACTAAGTAAGTAAGTAATATTTATCCACGCATATAGCGGCTTTCATAGACCAGTCACAAAGCTTTTTTAAAATTGTGTGGGCATTTCTCTCTCGCGAGGATCGTAGGAGGGGCATAACAGACCTACTGCACATGTTTTGAGCGTTAGGGGAAACCGTAACACCTGGAGGAAACCTGGACAGACATGGGGAGAACATGCAAACTCCAAACAGAAAGGCCTGGAAGTGGAATTGAACCCAGGACCTTCTTGCTGTGATGCACAAACCCTATCTATCTATCTATCTAATATCCATCTCTACTGATTGTCCAGCGCAAAAAATGCATAGGACTGCCCTTCACTATCTTGGGACTGGATCTTCTTGTCATGGGAGTAGAGCCTCAAACCCCCCTCAGCAGTGGGAACCCCCCTTCATGCGTACGTCTCCTCCATGGGCATGTGGTCTAATCAGATCAGAGCCGCATTCAGGGCGCACACACATGGGTTTATCTGATCCAGAACAGCCCTTACCTGCTCCACGGACGCTCAGGTGGACCAGCGAACACGGACGTTTCAAGGTCTGGACACAGGAGCCGCGTGCCACTGGAAATCCAGGCGACGGGAAGAATAGACACGGAGTCCATTTAATATGATATTGATCCCTTGACTTTAAGAGGGGCCCGGTTTGAAGGACAGCCCATCAGATGTGATTGAGTGAAGAGCCCAAAGGGGGGATGGCAGCATGACAATCATACAACAGCAGCGTGACATGTTTGGCGGACGGATATGGTGCGACAAAACAGGAGGTGTCACTAAGAGAGAAGCCGATTTGTTGAGTATTAATGAGGGTAGAACACTGATAAACAGGGAGTTATCTTTGAAATTGTGAAGGCTATAGATACTAGACTCAGATACACAATTAGTTTGGACTGGCTTAATGATGGCCATGACACAAAGCAGCTGCAAATTGTTATTGAGTTGTCAATTACAGTGGCCTTGTTACACACTCTCGATTGGCCCTTGATTGTCCTGCAGTTATGAAGTCAGTCAGATTACTTCCAATCCAGCTACAAAGAATCAGATTATATTTTGAAATGTCTCAAGCTCAAACAACAAGAGGCATTTGTGTAAACATAGTGTGTGCATCTGTGAAGCCCTTGGCATACAATATACATCATTTATTGTGGAAGGCAAAGAAAGTACAGCTGGTAAGTCAAAATGATTCTACAAGATTATGAAAGTTGTCACCCTTCTTCAGTAGATTCCCCTTGGAGATGTGATAAAGCCATACTGTAATATCAGTATACCAATATATGGAGGCGATAGTGGATAGCACTCTCGCTTCTCAGCAAGAAGGTCCTGGGTTCGAATCTCGGTCGGAACAGGGTCTTTCTGAGTGGAGTTTGCATGTTCTCCTTGTGCCTGCGTAGATTTCCTCCGGGTGGTCCGGTTTCCCCTACCACTAAAAACATGCACACTAGGTTAAATCCTCCAGCTCCGATAGTCCTGACCAAGCCGAGCATCAACATCTGGAGATGGGTTCCCGGGCGCTGTTACTACGGCGACCACTGCTCCTGACGTAAGCCTTAGTGGCATCAGGATGGGTCAAATGCAGAGGATGAATTGCCCTATGGGGATCAATAAAGCACACCTTTACATTTACCTTTAAAGTGCATTTCACAGACCCCATAAAGCGGTTCACAATTTGGGGTCATTTGGATTCACTCAACAAACAGTAACGACAGAAGCGAGGCCTCCTGGTGCACTGGACCGTCCCACCATCGCCATCTGTTCACACACTACATTGATACCTACTGTACATCTATTCAGGGGGCACAAAGAGAGAATATGCAAACTCCAAAAGGCACAGTCTGGCCCAGGAAACAAACCCCAGACCCAGCTTGAAGCATAAAAGGAAACCTTGCAAGTTGTCTAGAACCGCGTAGAGACGCCTTTTATATCTCCCTTTGGACACAGGATTATTCCTGCAGGGTGTACGTCCTCATAAACTATGGCATAAGTATTAGTATGGACATGCACACACGTGTACTCTGCATGTATAAAAATGGGGACTTCAGCAACATACAACACAGCTGGTGATTTATTGGTGTTGCCACAGAATACCTGCAGAGCGGTACTGAGAAGTGTTTAATTGAATTTGAAAAATCCCCAGAGACGCACAGCCCTTACATAATCCTTTATTTCTCTAATTGCTTTGCAGCCCTGAAGGCCACTCACTCTGCATCTTACCTGGGGAGGGACATCTGGACACATCCTTCTATCAGCAAATATGGACAAACGGATGTCCTCAGTTTCAGATTCCTGTCCCTGTCCAGCCCCTCCCCCACGTTTGTCTCATCTCTCAGCCCAGACTATCTCCGGTAACCATACGCCACCTGTGTATAATAGAGGTCACCCTTCTTTCAGATTACACCGGTGTGCTGTAACAATATGGCTCTTCCTGTCACACCCGTGCTGATGGGATTTGTATGAATGTGGGAAAATCATGTAATATTAATGTGTTAGAGCTATTTGATAAATGATTACAAACTGCAGAAAGAAACTGGGGACGGGGTTGGTGGTTATGGGCTGCGTTAAAACATAGTGCTGAAAGAATTCTGAATTTCTCCATGGACAATGTTCAAAGCATTTAGAGATTCTCAAAACTGAAAACAATCCAACCCGCTGGCCCCGCCCTCCTGTTTGGGAAACACTGGTATCTACATTAGTTTCTTAAACATCTGTTTTGTCCAATGAAGATGAGAGTTTTCTGTTACATAAACATTTTGAAGAGTCAACTATAAAAATTGTTATTGTTTATGCCTTATATGGTCTGCATGGATCCGCATGCAACACTTTGACCTTGTACTATAGATAAAGTACTTTGAATTGTGTTGTCTGCTTTTATTATGACTGACAGTATTGGGGCTGATTCAGTGACATGTGACCCGCTGTTCTAAATGTCTCTGTGTTGTGTTGGCCCCGACCCATGTTCAATGAGAACTCACATTTGTACCGGTGAATGTGTGTCTATTTTGGTTGACATTAATGTACTGTTTCTGTCTGAAATAACTGATCAATCACATTGATATAAGTTGCTTCAGTAACATTCCTGATGCCATTCCTTGGCATCCTCAAGTGCTGACTCGCTTCTCTCCTAACACTAAACTATGGCCATCTGCAAAATGTGGTTAATTAAGAAGGAAATCGGATTGCTGACTTAAAGAGGAAAAAAACAACCTCCAGTGTTCCATGACAAGGCAAAGTGCCCAATTAATGTGCTCAACACATGACTCAACATCACTGAGCAAGATACGTTTTAATCTTGTCTAAATTCTAGTCAAACCGCAGAAGGCAGAAAACATTAATTATGTTGTTTATAGTTTGTTACCAGGTTGTGCCCCGAGCTCATGCAGAAGAGCGCCTCCTGAAGGATCTGTTTGTGAATTACAACAAGCTGTCTCGCCCTGTGCAGAACACCACAGACACAGTCCTGGTGCACTTCGGCCTCTCCATCGCTCAGCTCATCGATGTGGTAAGTCCATACGACTGTTGAAGGATCCCATGGTCCCATGAGACGTGGGTGAGTCTCAGACCTCAGACCTGCTGGACCTATGTCTGTGCCCCTTGACCTCACTATTTCAGCCTTCAAGACAAGAAGCCATAGGTTTTTCTTCTTGAACCATACAGGCTTTAGAAAATTGCAGGCTAATACATTTCACGACAAACAGATTATTTGCTCTGACTTAAGTTACTTCAAGCACAACTAAACCTTTGTCTTACCTACTGTACCTCTCCCGTATTTAACCGAATATCAAAAGTCAACTTCATGTCAATATTATTTTTCTATATAGATCTGCATGTACATTCGCCCCTCCAAATGCATGTACATTTGGAGGGGCGACAGTTCAGGCCTGAAGGTCGTGGGTTCAATTCCCACCTCTACACCTTCTCCACCGACTCCCACTGTCGTTGTGTCCTTGGGCAAGACACTTAACCCCACTTTGCCCAAAGCCCCCACTGAAAGATCAAGGCTATGCTCACACTCAGAGAGCAGCCGTCCTCCTGTGGACTCACCACCTGCAGAGGGTCAGTGAGGGGCTGGTGCTATGAGACTTGGGTGGCATCTCTGACTGCCACCCCCCTGACCCAGAAATGGATTAAAGGGTAGAAAATGGATGGATGTACATTTGGATCATAAAATGCTAAATACGACGTAGATGTGACTGGGGAAGCAGAACGACAAGTCTTACATCAGCTCCTTTGAGTCATAACAGCTGATTATACAAATCCTGTCGCACTTTTCAGTCTAAATCTATGTTGTTAATTATTTAGGAGCTCTCTTTTGTATTCCGGTTTATTCGTTGTGGTAATGGTACAAAGATGGCGCCTCGTACGGTCGACATGGCTCCAGCCTAACAATAGCCGCTAAAGAGATTAAACAACTCTTCCTGAGGCTGCACCCCCGCAAAGCTCCTGGCCCGGACCACGTGTCTCCGGCCACTCTGAGACACTGCGCCAGTGAGCTTACTCCTGTGTTCACTGACATTTTCAACACCTCTCTGCAGTCCTGCCATGTCCCGGCCTGCTTCAAATCCTCCATCATTGTCCCCGTCCCGAAGAAGCCCAGGATCACAGGACTCAATGACTACAGACCTGTAGCACTTACGTCTGTCGTCATGAAGTCATTTGAACGCCTGGTTCTCTCCCACCTCAAGTCCCTCATCTCCCCCCTCCTGGACCCCCTGCAGTTCGCCTACAGAGCCAACAGATCTGTAGACGACGCCATTAACCTGGCCCTCCACCACATCCTACAGCACCTGGACTCCCCGGGGACCTACGCCAGGGTCCTGTTCGTGGACTTCAGCTCTGCCTTCAACACAATCCTGCCATCCCTGCTCCAGGACAAGCTCTCCCAGCTCAACGTGCCCGATTCCACCTGCAGGTGGATCACTGACTTCCTGACGGACAGGAAGCAGCGAGTGCGTCTGGGGAAGAATGTCTCGGACTCTCGGATTATAAATACAGGAGCCCCACAGGGCTGTGTTCTTTTCTCCCCTGCTCTTCTCCCTGTACACCAACCACTGCACCTCCAGCCACGACTCCGTGAAGCTGATCAAGTTCGCGGACGACACCACCCTCATTGGACTCATCTCCAACAACGATGAGTCCGCCTACAGGAGGGAGGTGGACCGGCTGGTGTCCTGGTGCAGTGGTAACAACCTGGAGCTGAACGCCCAGAAGACAGTGGAGATGATTGTGGACTTCAGGAAGAGCACTGTCCCCCCACCCCCACCCTCCGTGATGGACTCCCCCATCACCTCTGTGGAGTCCTTCCGTTTCCTGGGCACCACCATCACCCAGGACCTCAAGTGGGAGCCGACCATCAGCTCCCTCATCAAGAAGGCCCAGCAGAGGATGTACTTCCTGCGGCAGCTCAGGAAAGCCAAGCTGCCTGCACAGATGTTGGTGCAGTTCTACACGGCCATCATCGAGTCCATCCTCACCTCCTCCGTCACCGTGTGGTTCGCTGGAGCCACAGTCAGGGACAAACAGAGACTACAGCGCATTGTGCGCTCTGCAGAGGAAGTGATCGGCCGCAGCCTTCCATCGCTGCAGGACCTGTACGTCGCCCGAGCTCGAGGCCGGGCTGGTCGTATCACAGCCGACCCCTCTCACCTGCACATGGACTATTCCAACCACTCCCCTCTCACCTGCACATGGACTATTCCAACCACTCCCCTCAGGCAGGAGGCTGCGGTCCATCAGGACTAGAACCTCCCGCCACAAGAACAGTTTCTTCCCCTCTGCTGTTGGACTCTTGAACACTTCTTAACCTGTCCCCTCGCAGTAAGTCACTTTACTGCCCATCATACGTCACTTTACTTCACTGTACTGCTGTCACCTTACATTGTGTGCACCATGTGCACTTGTATATTGTAAATAGTAACTGTAACTCTATTTTAAATTTAAATTTATTCTTTAGAAGTGTTTTTTATTCTTATTTTTATTATCTCTTTTTGACTGTTGCACTGAGCCAAAGCAATTTCCAAGTCTGTAGCCTCCTGTTACTTACGTGGCAATAAAAATGATTCTGATTCTGATTCTGAGCTGTAGCCTTACCAATCATGTTTTTGAAGATCATCCAACCTTGCTTATAAATGCATTATTATGATTGCTGTGCACCTGAATTCCAGTTCCATGTTTATTCATTTCTCTTTTACAGCCGACACTTCTCACAATGTGCCCACAGTGATAAATCTCAATCCACTGTACACATCTTATCAGCGGAAATTAAAACCGGAGCCACAATACGAGACATCTCATTATTCCCCCAAACTAATTTTCTGCCTTCAGCTCCAGCATACAGGTCCTAATTATCAGTTCAACAGTTCAATTCAATTTTCATTAGCATTATGAAATCTGTCATGTTATTTCAGTTCAATAAGGGATAAAACAACTTCTTTTGCTCCCATTTGGAACATGCAAATGTGGCCGTCTTGCAGCTGTGGGCTTCTTTGTGTTCGCAGCCTGCATCAGTGCATCGCGGGTCTCTGTCTGGCGCACTATTATGTGACAGCACTGGCTTCTTTAGAAACAGCGGCTGAGGAAGTTGTCTGCTTCTGTAGCAACAGTCAGGCAGACCGACTCCATGTGTAGGGCGCTAACACCGGGCCTGTTGCATGGGTAAGCAGAGATTTTATGGAGAAAGGGGTATGAGTGCCTTGTTTTGACAGTTGTGTTTGTTTAATGGAGTCAATAGTTGGACATTATACAGAAACTAGAGGCTGGTTGGGAATCAGTTCATATAGAGGTCAAACAACAAGATTTCTTGTATAAGCAATTGCTGATTGGGGAGAGCAAATTACAATAAAAACTGAAATTTAATCTAATTAATCTAATTCAGATTAAGATTCAGATTGGGGCGACAGTAGCTCAGTTGGTAGAGCATTGGCCTTTGGGCCTGAAGGTCGTGGGTTCGAGCCCACCATAAGACCTACATCACGACTCCCACTGATGACTACTGTCGTTGTGTCCTTGGGCAAGACACTTAACCCCACTTTGCCTGAAGCTCCCGCTGAAAGATCTCAGCTCCTGTGGACTCACCACCTGCAGGAGGATCAGTGAGGGGCTGGTGCTCTGTGTACTGGGTGCAGCTCTGACTGCCACCCCCCCCCCGACCCAGAAATGGATTAAGGGGAAGAAAATGGATAGATTAAGATTCAGTTTATTTGCCATTTGCAGTAAAAAAAACCACATTGGAATACATTAGCAAAAAGTCTCCAGTGTGCACAGACAAATACAGACTTAAAACAACATTAAATTAATTAACATGTTTTTTCATATTTATATTATTTTTTAGCCCGAGCGCCAAACTGGCATAGAACGGAAATCAGAATAATTAGTAACAGGAAGTCGCAGACTGGGAAATTGCTTTGGCTCTTGGTGCAAACAAGTCAAAAGTAGAGAAAGTATAGAATTTTCAAAAATATAAAAAGATCATAATTAAAAAGTAAAATACATGTACACTTTGCCCATAACCAGCCTCATTGTTTGACTAACAGAGCTCAAAATTGCCTCACATCGTGTAAACATAGAATCCAAAGTTATTTCCAGCTTTGTGATTGGGTAAACAGTGTAAATGGTGTGCACCCAGCAGACTCAAACGTTTTGATTATTTCAATAAACACGCATAAAAGTTCTTATGATATTTGATGGAAATACAGCATACAGCATATAGCCTTAAAGCAATATCCCTTGTGAATTATAGTAGTAATTACAAGATAAATTCACCATATTTGAAGGAGACAGTGAGCGAATCCCTTAACTCCTGTCCATATGAGTGATACTAAAAAAGGATTCAATGTTACAGAGTAGTCAAGGACAGATTTGGAGCATTTGTGATGTGCCACAGTGGAGTGAAGAATAACATGAGGTTTTTCAGTGGAGGTAATGGTGGAGTTGGCCCTGCTACACAGACAGGTCAGAAACACAGTCCAGGGCCGTCGGGGGCCTGTGGTCTGGACTTCCAAGGCTTAGCTAGAAGCCAACGCGGTTGCAGAAGTTAAAACCATTCCCATCTTCAATGCATGAGTGAAGCGTCATGTCAGGTTAGGATCTCTGCTCCCCCAGGCAAAAACACGGGGCGGCATCTGTGGTTTCATTTTGGCTTCTGAATTTAGCAGTTGCCAAAAACCCAAAAATGAAACGGTCTGTCAAGATCAGGGTTTTGTTACTGAGTCTCTTGAGGTAACCGTTTCCCATCTGGAGTTATAAATGATCAAAATTAAATGAGATTTTCAGCTTCAGGGGCAATTCATTTCAGAAAGTTGGAAAAACAGATTGTTGTGTTATTGGGTAAATACACTGTTTGTTTGCATGTATTATCAATGAGCAGTTTCAGTAAGTACAGGTGCACATTAGATAGCTGGAGCCAATTCATATGGGCATTTCTTAGAGTGCAGATGTGTTGCTAAGACGGTTGCCAACGAAAACTGGAGTTTCTTCGTGAATGAAATAATCTGATTGGGCATATCTTCTATGACTTCTGGATTTACACAGACAATATCAAATTATAAAAACCAGGGTCAGAGGTGGTGCTAAAACAAATGGTAACTTAGCTAAAGGAGTTTACTTTTCCATATAACTCAATAGAAGCCAGAGCAAGTTGGAGCGAAACTTTGTCCATGAGCCCTTCCCTATTGGGCATCAATAGGTTTTGGATTTTCCATCTACATACAGTTGTTATAATCAACATTATAACAAATAAAGGCTTTAATCATGTATTTCATTTTTAAGTTTTTGTCAGTATCCGCTGCATCACCAAACTTTACATCTTTCTCCTGGATAATAACTTCAGATTTACCATAATATTCTCACAATGTTCTTTACGACCGATGGCAAAAAGTCAAATGTATCTGTCTTTCTGCTAATTAGGACGAGAAGAACCAAATGATGACTACAAACGTCTGGGTCAAGCAGGTACTTACTGTTACATTGTGAACACTTAGCGGTGACTTTGTGCGAATGTGAAGTTAATGGTGCTTGATGTTGTACAGGAATGGAACGACTACAAGCTGCGGTGGAACCCAGAGGAATATGAGAATGTCACCTCCATACGCGTCCCCTCGGAGATCATCTGGAGGCCCGACATCGTCCTCTATAACAAGTAAGACACACAATTAACACAAGTGGTCACAGCAGCGTTAATTCAGTGTCGATGTTAGCACTGGCACATTCTACAAGTGAAAAATGTATGAATAATTCAAAAGTTGTTTCTGTAGCTCAAAGTGTGAAACCAGTACATGATATAGACTCATTACAGTGACATATGTCCAGAGTTTTTATTAATGTTGAGGCTCACGGCTTACAGTCCATACATTTTTTTGAGATGATTAAATTAGGGTTTTACCAAAGCTGTGACTCGATTATCAACATTATAACAAAAAACCGCATGATATATCTCACCTCAAATGTAATGAGTCTGTCAGAAGTAAATTTGAAAAATATTCTAATTTTCAGAGTTTCACCTGTGCTATAAAACTGTGGGGAAATGCACATTCGGATGCGAGAATGAACCTGATGCTAATAATATGCAAATCTTGAACAATGGATGTGAGATACATGTCTTAACACTATGCTAATTAATTTGATGAAAGATAAACACAGTTTACTGATGATGTCACTCAGTAAAACAAACGTGGAGATGTGTTGCTTCAACTTTAATTAACTCTACTTGCATAACATCCCCCAGTAATAACTTCACTCTTACTGTAGTAAGCTCCCACAGCTGCCCTGAGGCATACTGACAGAAGCGAGGCCACTTGTTCGTGCCATTGGCCCCTCCAACCACCACAAACCATTCACACGCACGCAGGCACACACACACACCAGACTCCTCCCATCAAGGCCCCCCAAGCTGAAATGTGTGGAGTTTGTGCTCTGTTTTCCCCTACAACCCAAAACATGCACCATTATAAATGTGGTGAAAGCACAGACTCCCATCACCACTGAATGTGTATTATTCATTTGGTACGCAATACAATACAATAAAATGTATTCTTGTATAGCCCTAAATCACAACAGAAGTCATCTCAGAGACTTAACAAAACCATTTAATCGCCAACACAGATCAGAGAATCAACAGTTAAAACACATAAAGAATATAGAACACATGTTGATAAATGTCCATTCATGTTGTAGAATGTTAAAGTGTCCTGGATCATCACCACAGTCCTTTTTGTTAGACACTAACTGTCCAACCCTCCTGCATCAGAGAAAAAAAACAAAAACAACAATGGAAAAAAGTGAGAAACCTCGGAGAGATCCACATTGAGAGAGGGATACGCTCCACACGGACGGACGGGCTATAGATCCAGGACCTGAGCTACAAAGCTATGCTTTTCTGTCCTCTGTGTGTACCTGTGTATGCGTGTGTGTGTGTGTGTTTTTACATGCATGTGTAGGTGTCCATGTGTTTATGAACATTGATAGAGAATTTATACAAAAAAAGTAGGTATAGACAAATAAGAACAAAAACAGGCGTAAATAATGATTTTAACTTACAAATCAATCGCTGTGGTTGAGCTGAGCCAGTCCATTCTTTTGCCAGGACATGACTGCAGTTGAGGGAAAACATACCAGTAGATTCTGCCAAGCATTGTGTCCTACTCCAATGTCAAAAAACAATGTACCTGAAATATATGTGAAGGAGGTCAGGCCTAATGGAGATGGTTTTAAGGAGAGCCGTGTATTAAACAGGGGATTAGAAACATTCAAATCATGTTTGCAAATGTTTCCGCCCAAACAGTGTGATCTTTAACAGAAGCACGGCATAAATAACTGTCCCTTCTGTCAACATTGATTCTACCAATATATCAGAACTACAGACCATTGAATATGTAATGGATGTGTTTGCTAATGGCATTTCATCCATCACGACAAGGTTGAAATGGAATTGAATATATCATTTGCCGGTCGTGCCAAATGTCTGAGATACAGTACGTGAAGTGGAGACATCTGTTTGCCCTCAGGGATGAATCGCAAATTGATTAAAACATTGGACCTAATCAAGTCAATTGATTTAGCAAATACGAAATCAATTAAGTTTAGAATAACCAATTAAAAGCTACTTAGTGTCTGGAGTCAATGAGCAAGAGTGAAAGCATTGGAGCAGAATGTTCACTAATGTGTGAGAGTTAAGCCGTCTATATTGGCATCTGGGTGCATATGTTTCATGCATGGCCACGGATCACTTCACTCTTTCATTGAGCAGTAATTGTAAATATCTTGGGTAACCTACTTTGACAAAGGGTTCTTTTCCCCGCAGTTAAATGACAGGCAGTAAACAAGCCAAGTGCATAATTAGCCAAACACAGATGCCTGAGCATATTGCAAACTGGATGAGTGAGAGCTTTATTAACATCATATTAGTCACATAAAATAGTTTTTTTCTGTGTGTGAACCCCGGCTGAATTACATGACAAAGCAAAAATCAACGAAAGAAAGATTTAAGCATAGACATCTACATTACAACCGGTTCCTTCCGGTGGCACAGTGGTTTACAGCAGTCTCGCTTCTCAGAAAGAGGTCCTGGGTTTGAAATCCCAGTCCGAACAGGGTATTTTAGAGTGAAGTTTGCATGTTCTTTCTGTGTCTGCGTAGATTTACGGGTGCTCTGGTTTCTTTTTCCCCATTACATTAAACCGTCTGCGTATGTCCAACCCAGCAGGAGTACGCCAGACTCCCCTCAATTCCTCCAGTCTTCAGGGAAAGACCAGTGGGGACGGGTCCCGGCTTCAAAGGGTCCATGAACACGCCTACAATCTCTCTCCTAGCCGGTGGGGGTGTACCTGGAAAGATAATTACCCAATGCTTTCGTATGGTGCCTTCTTTCCTCTTGAAAACGTCTTTACAGGATGGTTCAAAAGTTGCTCTTGGCCCAACAATATGTTCCAGATGTGTGTCAATGCTGAGGGGAGTATTTTGTTTTGGACCAGTCTAGTTTAGCCGCTGTGGACTTTTGAAGGCACTCTGTAAATGAATGGGGCTAGTGCCGGCTTAGGCGCAAATTTGTTTTTTCACATTTTCCTGCCCCGCGGCCATTTTAAAAAAGCCCTCAGAAGGTGAAAGTGGTGACTCATAAGTTTCAAAGGCGTAACTACGACCATTAATATTGAGTTTATGGCTAATGGTGCGTTCAGACCAAACGCGATTTCTGCGGCCAAAGCGGCGGGTCTACATTGACACAACATGGGGGACGCGCGCCAAGGAGCGGCGAGAGATCACGCGGCGCGATTCGCGCGGCCAGAGCGGCGCGAATTCGAGCGTTTCGCGCGATTCGCGCGGCGTGTTTTGAGATGTCAAGCGTTTTGACGCGCGTTTCGCGCGATTCGTGCCTCCAACGCGGCCGCCGCTAGAGTTGAACAATGTTGAACTTTTTGGGAGAATTCGCGTGTGCCGACCAATCAGGAGCTTTCTCCTCCAGTGACGTAGTGACGCATTTCACTACCGGAAAAACACTAGTAGATGACAGCTATGGAGGACACGTCAATTGCTCAGGTCGGTGCTCATTCTGAGCTATATAACACTGCGGACATCAGCTACCGGGGCCGAAATAAAAAGGAGCTTGCTTGGAGGAGGGTTAGCGAGGTGGTTGGTGTCTCGGGTAAGTTATTTTAACTTTTCAATGTTGTAAATATTTCCCCGCGAAAAAAACTACTACTTTCCTGCTTACGAGTTGATGTGTTTATTCAGTGGAAGTTTGCAAAAAGCGGTGGAAGAATCTGAGGGACACATATGCTAAGGAGAGCAGGAAGAAGGAGAAGGTGAAGAAGAGTGTAGCAGAAGCAGGGAAAGGCCAGACGTGGAAGTACCTTGTGGTCATGTCCTTCCTCGAGCCCTACATCACTCCCCGTGACAGCTCCGGGAACATGCCAAGGCGAAGGGCCGAGGAGGAGCAGACCACAGGGTACAACCACCCAGAAGAAGAGCCAGAGGAAGCAGCAGCAGCAGGGCTGTCAGGTGCTGAAGGTCGGTGTCATGCAGCAAACAGAGACCTCCAACAGTTGGAAAAAATACATTTCTTTCCTTTCTATTACCCACATTTTGCTGACTTTTACATTTATATTGCTTTCTGTGTATGCATTTCTTTTAATGATTTCTTAACATCATGGCCAGGTGAAAATAGGCATTGGCTATTTTCAAACCAGGATAGATCTTGATCATGTGTTGTGTTAAATTTCACTTTTCCCTTTTATATGAACAAATCATTTAAATGTACATAATAATGTACATTATTATGTACATATAAATGTCATAAGCGCAATGTACACATGATATGAAATAATTGTATTTCTTGTTTTCTTCTGGCACAGACACTGCCACCACCACACAAGGGGAGACATCTTGGCCTGAGCTGCCTGAGCTGCTGCTGCTGCTGCTGCTGCTGCTTCCTCAGCCGGTTCTTCTTCTGTGAGGGCTGGACCTTCCCCTGCTTCTGCACCTACAGGTGTGGCTTTTTTTAATCATTGTTTTATTTTTATTCTTTTTACAGGACTGTTCATATAAACAAAATGTTACTGCATAATATGCCAAAATTACCCAAGGGCTGTTACATCAGTGTAGACGACAAATTTACAGAGAAACACCAAGATGTCAAGGCACTACAGGTGGAAAGAAGCTTTGGTCTGATACAAATCTTCCCTCTTTCTTCGATAAAAACATACTACTGAAATACCTTATGCTATAAAAGTACTGAACAAATACATGCAATGGTTGCCACAAGATGGCAGCTATCCTGTTTAATGCAGACAATAGAGTATTACTTTTTTACAGCCAATTTCAAATTTCATTGCGAAATACACTTCAGAGATATTAGTTTGTAACTGTCGAAATTTGTGCTTGTGTGAGTAATTTCATTGATAACTGCAATGTTCAAGTTAATTGTAACAAACACACAACTTAAAAGTGTTTTACATGTGTTTAACTATGTCTACACACTCTGGCTTTAATACAGATATTATTTGCTCTCTTCATTTTGCTTTTTTGAAATACATGTTCCACTTTTTAACACTGTGATTGCCCTGTGTTCTTTGTTGGCGGCTCTACGGACGTGGGCCTCTTCCGAGCCCTCTTCCTTGGTGGGCCTTCAGAGTGGGAGCGGGAGCTGCTGGAGACTCTACGGACCAAAGCAGCCGGACCGCCCGACTACACAGAAGAACATCAGTTCCTGCTCTCTCTCTTTCCTCTCCTGCAAAGGGTGGCACCAGAGTCAAAAGAATTTGTGAAATTCAAAATGTACCAACTTTTATATGAAAGCAGCACTGTTCTTCTTAATTTGGAACCATTGGCCAGAACAGACAGTTTTTTGACCTAAGGTGACACCTTTTGCAGGGGAGGAAACAGACATGTGTCCCTTTCCTCTTCCACCGCACCTCCTCCAAGCAAGCTCCTTTTCATTTGTTTATATGTACATTTCATTTATTTTTCATTGTTTGTTCCTTTTTTTATAAAGAAAATATTTTTCAAACCTCATGTGTTCTACTTCAAGCCAACCATTACTACCTTTCATATAATATTGACAGAAAATGCTATTCTATATTTGTACATTTACTTTTATAAGAGCTGACTGGGTTTTATAGAAGATGGAATAACGAACACTTAAAGAGCGATACAGTAGTTGACAGTATTTTTTATTCATTTCACCTTTTACTGTTTTAACAACCTTGTAATTATGGAAAAGCTTGAATGTGCATATGATTAACCTGAAGTTGGAGTGGAGTCGCAGTGGAGTCTGGCAGTCATTACCTAGAAACAGAAGGTATACAGGTGAATAGAATAGTGCAAATCAATATGGGTTTGGACTATGGCCAGATGTGGGTCAGTCTTGTGGTGGACATGACTACTCTGTGGGCTGCCACGGCAGTGCTCCCTCCTCACTGAAGTGGGCCATGAACACTTTCCTTATGTCCACTGCTGGCTTCCAGGCGGCCATCCGCTGCACGCCTGGAAGTGGTTCTTCACCGGCAGCAGCTCCCCTCGGTGCAGGAACCTGCCCATCTCCAGCCATCCTCATGGCTGGAGATGGGCAGGGCGCATTAAATTGCAGCGCAGTGAAAAGGCCTCATCTGCCACGAACACATGGGGCTGGGGTCCTCTGTGGTCAGCTCCAGGTATGCACTGGTCAGGAGGCAGGTCGAGTGTGCCCTCGCGCAGAGCCTCACCAAAGGCAGAGTTGGACACGATGCCTCCATCGCTGGATCTGCCGTACCCTCCCACATCAATCACCCTGAACCTGTACTGGGCATCCACTACAGCCAGGAGCACAAGGGAATGGTGCCCCTTGTAATTAAAAAAACATGGACCCAGAGTTGGGGGGTGCCTTCACAGCCACATGCTTCCCATCAATGGCCCCACAGCACAGAGGGAAGTTCCATCGGACCTCCACTCCTCTGCTCCAGGCACAGCCATGAACTCCTCCACGAGGCAGTCCCAGATGGCTGCCACCACATCTGGGATGAGCATGGAGACGGTGGATATGCCCGCTCTGAAGCTCCCCGCAATGGTCCTGTAGGAGTCCCCAGTGGCAAGAAACCTGCAATTACAAAATGATATGAACATATTTATCACAATTACATTCATAACAATCACGTGACAAAACTTGTGTAGCATAAAATACGTTAAACTAGTAGACAGTAAACATCATAGACAGTAATCATAGACACCATATTGTTGCATAATACTGTTTTCTGAGCTATTACATTGTGGATTGTGATTGAAAAATGACAAACTTTGTAAGTATTTAGGAATTCCGAATGGGGTAAAAAACACTAACCGCAGACAGATGGACAGGCGCTCTTCAGCTGGAATAGAGCGCCTGTAGTTGGTGTCCTGGTAGGTGATCCTTGCGCCAATGCGGGTCAGTAGGTCGTCAAACTGGGCCAGGGAGAGACGAAAGTACCGCTGAAAGCGACCCTCATCCGAGCGCAGCTCCCGGAGCAAATGGTGAAACTCACCAAACTCCAACCGTCTACGGACTATCTGGTGAATCCAGACACGTCGTCGATTCGCCCTTTGACGACGCTGTCTGGCTTTATTTATTAGATAGAGCCAAGCAACTCCTTCGCTGACATCCATTTTGGGAAGCTACAGGCAAAAGAGACAAGCCCCGCCCCTAAACGCTCTCAACGCTCTGTGACAGCGGCTGCCCTCTAGTGTCCTGGCCGCGCGGCCAAGTTTCTCTGTGACAGCGGCTGCCACAATTTGTCACAAGCGGCTCAAGCCGCGCGATATACGCGATTTGGCCGCAGAAATCGCGTTTGGTCTGAACGCACCTTAAGACTGGACTCGCTTGAGGAAATGGGTGGTGTCTGGTGTGCTTCTGCTTGGTTGGAAATTAAACCTGCATCCACAGTGGCCCTTTGAGGACCGGTTTGACAACCCTGGTTTAAAGTTTTCTCTCACTTTTCTTTATAAATAAAGCATGTAGTTTGTCCCAGCAGAGTCTTGTAAAAGTCAAATGTTGTACGGAGTAAAAGTGTTGATGGATAACTTTGCATCTGCCTTAAGACCTCAGCCTGCGCAGCGCGTTCAGCCGTTGAAAGAGAGGAGGATACAAAGGGCCAGACCCTCTCCACGGAACCCAGAGGTCTCGGCACCTCCACCGCCTCAAAAGAACTCAACACGTCCACCAGCATCATCATCAGCAGCGGATACAGCACCAGCAGCAGCAGTGGCTGCCACAGCGTCATCAGCGCCTTCAGCATCAGCACCACCAGCACCAGCTGTGGCTGCTGCATCATCTTCAGCAGTACCTTCCCCACCTACAGCTCCCGTGAAGCCCCCCCCATTGCTACAGGCTACAGTCAGGCCTGCACTGGGGGCCTCTCAACCACCTCCGTCTCCACCAAAGACTCCCTCATCACCTTCCATGGACCCGGTTTGGGTCCCCCCCCCCCCGCTACATCCACTCCATCTAAGGAACATGAGGACGACCTTTCCCTGTGTTTTCCATCACTATTGGATTTACCGGAACACTCTGCAGGCATGATAAGATCGGCGATGAAGAATATTCCTCTCACACCCACTGTAGCCAGATCAAGGGTCCTATCTAACAAACATTCATAACTTCTCCCCATACGTACCTCCAAAGCCACCTAGGGCGTCCAACTCAAATTCTCGACCACAACCGCTGATACTGAAACTTTGAAACTTGCTATGCTAAATGTCAGATCTCTTTCTAACAAGTCTTTTTTAATCAATAATTTGATTGGTTCTTATAATCTTGATCTTATGTTCATGGCTGAAACATGGCTTGACCAAAATACAGAAAATGCAGTTTTAATAGAAGCATCACCACCAAATTTCAAATTTGAATCTGAAATACGGGAAAACAAAAAAGGAGGAGGCTTAGCTGCCATTTTTAGAGACCACTTTATCTCCCATAGAATGTCTCTTGGGAAGTTTCCGTCGTTTGAATATGTGTCTTTTAAAATACAACAAAAAAAATCTCCTCCAATACTCTTCATAGTCCTATACAAGCCACCGCAGTCATGTCACAGTTTTATTGATAATTTTACCGAGTTGCTTTCAGTTGTATGCACAGATTTTGATAGTTTAGTTATTACAGGTGATTTTAATATTCATGTGGATAATGTTGATGACAGAAATGCAAAAGAGCTGAGTTCTTTACTTGATACCTTTGGTCTCACTCAGCATGTGAGTGGCCCCACCCACAGCAGAGGGCACACTCTAGACCTGTTAGTTACAAAGGGGGTGAATATTTCAAATATAAGCGTGGTCGATGTTGCTCTTTCGGATCATTTCTGTGTATTTTTTTGACATGTGTTTCACTAACAAACCACCAGTGGACTCTGCAACTGTTCGAAGAAGACACATAAATGAAAATACGAGTGAACTATTTATGGGAATGATAAACTTTGAAAATGCATCGTATTCTACTGTAGATGAACTGTTTAACTCTGTCACCTCTAGTGTTTTGAATGTTCTGGATACCGTTGCCCCTGTGAAGGTTAAAATAGTGAAAAATAAGCAGAAGGCGCCGTGGGCTAAAGCAGACTCGGTCAGGGCACAAACGAGAAAGTGCCGGAGGGCCGAGCGGAAGTGGCGCAAGTCCAACCTCCAGGTTGATTACAAGATCTTCAAAGATAAGTTGTGCGAGTTTAACCGGGTGCTACGTAGTACGAGAGAAAGGTATTTTTCTGAAATGATTGAAGGCTGCAGTAACAATCTGCGTGTTCTGTTTTCAACAGTTAATAGATTAACAAACCCCCCTGTTCAGATGCCATTAGAGCTAACTTCCAAACGTAAATGCAATGAGTTTGCACACTTTTTCAATGACAAGGTTCAAGGCATCAAAAACGCCATTGTTTCCAATCCACAGATAACCATCCAACAGCCAGAAAGGCTCTCTGAGCTAACTTACTTTGCACCTGTAGATGATAAAAATGTCCAAGAAATAATCTCCAGTTTCAATCAATCAATCAATCAAATTTTATTTATAAAGCGCTTTTCATACAAAAAGTGTAACACAAAGTGCTTTACAGTTTAGTTAAAAACAATCCAACATGCCCAGCCCTAAACCCTCCTCCCCACAGACCCCCCAAAATCACATTTATAATTATATATACAATACACACACCCACACACACACACACACACACACACACACATATACACAAGTATAAAGTCATATCAGGTAAAATAGGTAAAACAATAAAAAGAAATGGGGCTGGGAGCAGATGTAACCGGCTGAATAAGCGTCATCCAAGGAGCCATCTGCACCAGGAGCAGAGAGCCGGCTGCAGCCACAGGCAACGACACAGGACCCAGAGGAGAGAGGGGCCCCAGACCCCACCAGGCCCAGGACTCAGACCCCATAGGATCCAGAGGAGAGAGGAGGCCCCAGACCCCCACCGGATCCAAGAGCCAGTCCCCCGAAGCCACAGCAGACCCCAGCTCTCAGTGCAGAGGGCTCCTCCAGAGGAAACACTGGGGACACTAAAACAATACAATAATACAATAGAAAGTAGAACAATAGAATGTGAAAATAAAAAGAAAAATGGCAGCTGCCTAATATAATAACAATAGTAAATGGGTAGATACAATAAATAATTAAAAATAGTAAATAATAAAAATAAATAAAAATATAATCCGTCTAAAAACATAAATAGATGTACTAAAAAGCAATAATAGATAATAAATACTAATCAAAAGCTGCTCTAAAAAGGTGCGTCTTGAGCCTACTCTTAAAAATATGAACGTTCTCTGCGGCCCTGAGCTCCTCCGGCAGACTGTTCCAGAGACGGGGGCCGTAGTGCTGGAAAGATGCCTCGCCGTGAGTGTGTGTCCTGACTTTGGGGATGGTTAGGAGTCTGCTGCCGGAGGAGCGCAGGGGCCGGGAAGTCTCATAGGATAAAAGCAAATCTGAAAGATAAGAAGGCCCAAGACCATTAAGACATTTAAAGACCATTAAAAGAACCTTAAAATCGATCCTGAAACACACGGGGAGCCAATGCAGCGATTTTAAAACCGGTGTAATGTGGTCCCGCCCCCTGGTCTTAGTCAGGACACGTGCGGCCGAGTTTTGAAGTAATTGTAAACCTGAAATGTTCTTTTTGGGAAGACCAGAGAGCAGGGCATTACAGTAGTCAATGCGACTGGTGATAAAAGCATGCATCAGCGTCTCCGTGTTGGCCCGAGAGAGAATGGGGCGGACTCTGGCGATGTTCTTTAAATGATAAAAACCTATTTTTGTGATGTTCTTGATGTGAGGAATAAAAGTCAGCTCAGAGTCAAAGATTACGCCCAGGTTTTTCACTTGTGATGATGGATTAAAAGAGTGTGATTGGAGTTTCGGTAAAAGTTTCTCTCTCTGGGCCTCAGGACCGATGACTAAAACCTCAGTTTTGTCCTGGTTGAGCTGGAGAAAGTTTTCTGCCATCCAGGATTTCAGGTCTAAAAGGCAGTTAAAAAGAGCATCCATTGGCCTGGTGTCGTCAGGAGACATGGAGATGTACAGCTGTGTATCATCTGCATAACTGTGGAAGTTAATTCCATGTCTCCTGACGACACCGCCAAGAGGGAGCATGTACAGGTTAAAAAGGACTGGACCTAAAATGGAACCCTGGGGCACACCACATGTGATTTTATGGACCTGAGAGGAGCAGGTATCCAAACTTACCATGAAGGATCTGTCTGTTAAATAAGAAGTGAACCATTTGTGGACAGCACCAGAGAGGCCGAGGTGTTTGAGCTCCTCCACATGCAGCCTGGATGTACTACCCACTAGATTTCTGAAGTCTGCTCTGGGCAGTCTGTTACCTTCACTCACACAGATAGTAAACATGTCCCTTCATTCTGGAATATTCCCAAAGGCCCTGAAAACTGCAGTCATCAGGCCCCTGCTAAAAAAGAGCAGCCTGGATGCTACGTTACTTAACAACTATCGTCCCATCTCAAATCTGCCATTTATGGGGAAAGTCCTTGAAAAAGTTGTCTACCTACAGCTTACTAGATTTCTTATAATTAACAACTCATTTGATATGTTTCAGTCCGGCTTTAGACCCCACCACAGCACTGAGACTACTCTTATCAAGGTTACAAACGATATCCGGCTGAACACTGACGCAGGCAAAGTCTCAATCTTAATCTTGTTAGATCTGAGTGCTGCCTTTGACACCGTCGACCATGAGATCCTCTTACAGAGACTAGAGGACTGGGTTGGAGTCGCTGGCACCGCCCTAAGTTGGTTTAGGTCTTACCTTGAAGACAGGAAGTACTTTGTGGAGATTGGAAACTGTGTCACAGATCATATGGCCCTGACCTGTGGAGTACCACAGGGGTCGATCCTGGGACCTCTTCTGTTCAATCTCTACATGCTGCCGTTAGGTCAGTTAATACGCAGAAACAAAGTGTCCTATCACAACTATGCAGACGACACTCAGATCTATGTCTCACTGACTGCAGGAGAACATGGACCAGTGGACTCACTCCTTCACTGTATCCAACAGATCAGTGAGTGGATGCAAAACAACTTCCTTCAGCTAAACGCAGACAAAACTGAAATGATTGTCTTTGGTCCCCAGAAACAAAGAGAGAGCGTCATCTGTCACCTACAGTCTCTCTCCCTAAAACCTTCAAACAAGGTCAGAAATCTAGGGGTAATACTGGACTCAGACTTAAATTTTAATAGCCACATCAAATCAGTAACATCAGCAGCTTTTTACCATCTAAAAAACATTGCCAGGATCAAAAACATAGTGTCTAAAGCAGACTTGGAGATTCTTATCCATGCATTTGTCTCCAGTAGGTTAGACTACTGCAATGGCCTGCTCACAGGTCTGTCCAAACAGGCTGTAAAACAGCTGCAGTACATTCAAAATGCAGCAGCTCGAGTCCTGACTAGAACCAGGAAGTACGACCACATTAGTCCGGTCCTCAGGTCTCTGCACTGGCTTCCTGTGGCTCAGAGAATAGACTTTAAAACAGCTCTGCTTGTGTACAAATCTCTCCATGGCCTCGCACCAAACTATATTAGTGACATGTTAGTCCCATATGAACCAGCCCGGACTCTGAGGAGCACAGGGACTGGACTCCTGTTAGTGCCCAGAGTCAGAACTAAACATGGGGAGGCTGCTTTTCAGATTCATGCTGCTAAAATCTGGAACAGTCTTCCTGAAGATGTGAGACAGGCCTCCTCTCTGACAATGTTTAAGACAAGGTTGAAAACAGTTCTGTTTAGCTGTGCATACAACTGAGGGATTTTATATTTTTATCTTTTTTTTTTTAATGTACTGTGATTATTTATGATTTTAATGCTTTCTTGTTCTGTTCAGCACTTTGAATTGCCTTGTGTATGAATTGTGCTATACAAATAAACTTGCCTTGCCTTGCCTTACTAATAGATTTTTGTCGTAGAAAGAAAACTATAGTGAGAGAAAAAAAATAGGTAGATGGATTGCTTAACATAGTTTTTTTTCTGGTTTGAAAGTTAGGTAACCCAGATTAATGTTGGGTGAACATTGATTAATCTTGGCTGTACAAAAATAAATGGAATTCTTGGATCCATTCGTTCTGTGTTTATTTGTCAATGTTCAGTCTACTGCTGAAATATGCCGTTTGCTGTTTTGTCTGGGAGGGTTTGAATAGAACATGGGACATTGAGAATTCTATTCTCTGGAGATGTTTCAGTTTTGCTGAAAAAAGCAGATAACTTGTCGATCTTGCAAGTTAATACTCAAAAACTAGTATTTTCTTTGGCTCGAGAACTCTTGGGATAAAAAAATGCATCTCTGTACCATATTGGGATCCTGGGAATTTTTCATGAGCAGGTGGTGAATAAAACTTCTATCATAAAACAGTCGATCTATGGAATATCTGTCCTTTAAAATCTGTAGAACTGTACCAGAATTATTATATTTTGTTGTTTTCTGTTTATTGCAGCGCTGATGGTGATTTCGCCGTCACACATCTCACCAAGGCCCACCTGTTCTACGACGGTCAGATCAAGTGGATGCCTCCGGCCATCTACAAGTCCTCCTGCAGCATTGACGTCACATTCTTCCCCTTTGACCAACAGAACTGCAAGATGAAGTTTGGATCCTGGACTTACGATCGCGCTAAAATCGATCTAATCAATATGGCTGGTGATGTGGACCAAATGGACTATTGGGAATCCGGAGAGTGGGTGATCATGAATGCCGTGGGAAAGTACAACACCAAAAAGTACGAGTGCTGTACTGAGATCTACGCTGATATCACATACTACTTCATCATCAGAAGGCTACCGCTGTTCTACACCATCAACCTCATTATCCCATGCCTTCTTATTTCTTGTTTGACTGTCCTGGTTTTTTACCTGCCCTCGCAATGTGGAGAAAAGATCACATTATGCATATCAGTTCTCCTCTCGCTGACTGTCTTCCTTTTGCTCATTACGGAAATAATACCATCAACGTCGCTAGTGATTCCGTTGATTGGGGAATATTTGCTTTTCATTATGGTTTTTGTCACGTTATCAATCGTAATTACCGTTTTTGTGCTGAATGTTCACCATCGTTCACCGCAAACTCACAGAATGCCACAGTGGGTAAGAAGAGTGTTCTTAGACTTAGTTCCAAGGGTTCTCTTTATGAAGCGGCCCCCAGGAACCGCCAAGAACAACTGCAAGAAGTTGATTGAGATGATGCATAGACCGCCTACCGTGTCCACAACAGGGGACTCGCAAAACTTCTGGTCGGGACTTGAGATGGGGTTGAAACAGATCAGTCAGTTAGAAACCACAATTCTAAAAACGCCAACCGATAGTCCAAACATCCGGGTGAGTTCTCCCTCGCCTCCATCATCTGTGAAAGAAGACTCAGATGAATATGATCGCGCACTGAAGCCAAACTTTTTCTGCCGTTCCTCATCTGGAAAGTATTCAGTCCTTTCTGAAAAACTACGTGGATTTAACTCAGAAGCTTTGTCATGCTCTCAGTTGTCTTTGCCCCCGTCCTTACCATTAGGTCCTCTTCATTGCCTGACGAAGGAAGAGTCTGAAAAGCCAGCTATGAATGGTCGGTCACACAGTGTGGAACAGATGTGTGATCATCAGAAGGAATTTCCTCCAAAGAGTGAGCATCTTTGTCGCTCTCGCAGCTTCAACCATTGCTGTGTGCATAATGACGGGACCCCCAGAGCAGTGAGAAGGGCCAAGAAATCTCCACTGAAAGAAAACCGCTTAGAGACACTCACAGCTCAGCTCTCTAAGGATGGGATCTCCCAGATCTCCCAGCAGGACGTGGTGGTTCCCTCCATATCACCAGCCCTGCTGCGAGCCTTGGAAGGGGTCCAGTACATCGCAGACCATCTCAGAGCAGAGGATGCAGACTTCTCTGTAAGTTTTTATTCAGTTTTAGTTGATATGCAGCAGTGATCTCATGCTCTCAAATATGATAAGTTATGCTTGAAAGTTTACACACACACACACACACACACACACAGCTAGATATGTAATTTTATTTGCGGTATTTTTCAGCTTTTTTGAGTTCCATCCATTCATTCATTTTCTACCCCTTAATCCATTTCTCGGTGGGGGGGGGGGGGGGGGTGGCAGTCAGAGCTGCACCTACAGTAAGTCACATAGCATCAGCCCCTCACTGATCCTCCTGCCGGTGGTGGTCCACAGGAAGACGGCTGCTCTGTCAGTGACGATACAGCCTTGAGCTTTCAGTGGGGACTTCAGGCAAAGGGGGGTTAAGTTACCCAAGGACACAGCAATAGCTTGCCATCAGTGGGAGTCGGTGGAGAAGGCTCAAAGGCCAATGTTCTACCAACTGAGCCACTGTTGACTTTTTAAGTTATTTTCTTTGAATATTGATCTTTATTTATTTCGCACCAAGAGTTCAAATTATATTTTTCACAGGAGTCCTGGGGAGTGGGGTCGGGGATGGTGTTATAGGGGACTATTGTATATGGTTTTAGTGGGAGGGGAAACTGGAGCACCGGAGGAAAACCTATGCAGCCACGCTGTGATTAGCATTTTTCTTCAATAACATAACATTCATAACATTATTGAGCCACTCTGGGTAGATCTCAAAAGTTGAATGTTCATGCAAGGTCACCCAGGAATTTACAGGAATGAGGGGCTTTTTGCCAAGAATAGTGGTCACCTTTACCATCAGAAAGGAACTGTTTAGAGGGCATCACTCTTTCCCCCACGTACTTCTTCAGTACTTGTTAATTAAAAATAAACCTAATAAAACCAATAAAACATGCATACAGAAACATCACATTATTCTCATTAATGATCACGCAGAGGCTGTCACAATATCATGTCACAAATCATTCAATGAGCTGCCAGGAAAGACCCTTTTAAAACAGTTCTAAATGGACCCTGAATATTTTATGAGAAGAAAAGCTGTGATTGTCTGACATTTAGGAGATGGCCTCTTAATGAAAAAATCAGGCAGTGGAGAAAAATCAATCATGAGTGAAGGTTGGCAGCGGTAAACCCTGTGAATGATGACTTGTGTGCAGGTGAAGGAAGACTGGAAGTACGTGGCCATGGTCATCGACAGGATCTTTCTCTGGATGTTTGTCCTGGTCTGCATCCTGGGCTCAGTGGGACTCTTTCTGCCCCCATGGCTCGCCGGGATGATCTGAAGCCTTACACCGGACAATAGCCTATAATTTCCTGAGATCTTACATGGTATTTATATATAGATTTTCTTTCCTGCTGACTTTTGCATCGCAGAATAATGTGAAAAATTCATAATGACTTACACACATTATGAACCAGCAATTGAGCAGTAGTCAGTTTTGCCTGTATATTTTTTTCCAAACGTTTTCTAGAGAAGATGAAAATGGTTTAGATTTTACAACAAGGGCAACTGCATATTTTTTCTGAACATTTGGTCTCTTTTTGTGAAAGAGCGTCTCAGCAGGCGCCTCCGCTGTCAAAGGCATCATCACATTTATTGACAGCAACAAATCGTTTCATCAATGCACATTTATCAGTTTGTATCCACTGCTGTCCATCGCCGTGGTAACACTGACGCGATCACCGATTTCACACTAGAGAGGGTTGTACACTTGTTCTTTATGCCCTGTCTGTCTGAGATACATGCTGCATGAATCTGCTTTTAGCGGAACAAATAGATATGTAGGGATAAAACATATAGATATATTTACGAATCCAATCAATTCCAGTCATTGGATTGTGCAAGGTTTGTTTGCTGATTGTTGATATAAAAGTAGTTCAGGTTCAAGGGTGGGAAAGGATTTTAGGTTGAAGTTTAGCCCTAATTCTGCCGATACTAGAAATAGAAATGTTCTCTTATAATTCTAGCACCCACTTTTTTACATCAAAAGCTAGAATCTTCAAAAGTGCTGAGAAATACTAATACTTTTATGGTAATGTTTAAAATCAAGCTTTCTATTCTTGACAGATTATCCAGGATCATTCACATTAAAATCATTCAGTTTCATTTGAAAAACACTTGACAAAATGGATCCTTGACTTAACATCATAGTTTATACTCTCCATATTCAGAACCTTGAAAAAGAATCACTACATTTGGAAACGACTGAATTAACATTGTCCTGGTTAGATGTAGTTTGTAGTTTTAGTTGGTGATCGAAAAACAATTTGAACTGTTTTGTGCTTGATGATTTTCCGATGTGAAACAGCTGCCTTGACCCATCCTCAGCTTTTCCCTCAGAGTGCGTTCGTTTACGTTGATGTAAATATTAAATAACCATTGTGTTGAAGTATATTGTTTAGCTTACAATGTTTGTGTTGTGATTATTGATCGGCAGGAATAATAAAACTTATTTTTTACAATAAGAATTTGGACAAATGTGTAATTTCTACATTTACATAATTTTTGTCAGAAAAATGGGTAGAATGCTTTGATCATGTATTTTTTCATAGAATAATGAATAGTAATAGTGCAAATGAAGTGCAATCAGAATGGTTTAGCGCAATAGGACAGGTGCATGATAAATCAGTAATTCCTTGATAAATATACCCCTTAGGCATCTGTTTTACTTATTCATTATTGGTGGACGTTCATATCTTCAGAGGTTATTAATAATTACCACAGACTTAAGGTCAATTACCAATCTGTCTCATGACATTTATTTTGTGTAATTAATAACTCTTGGCATTTCAGTGCTCTTTTTTCTGCCTCCTCTCCTTATTTTCTCATGTAAATTACAAATTGTTTCTACAAATACAGACAAAGACACAGACAAAGAGCAGCTTATCTTTTAATGAATAGAGTTTGAACACGTGCAATTTAATACATGCATTTTTGACCACCACCAACCCAACATTAGCCCGGTCTTAGCCATCCGTAAACTCAGGTCAGTTATCATTTCCAAACATGTACGTCTGGGTCTGATCCTAGTGGCTGCAGTTGAATCCACTCCGACCAATCAGCAAGCGGGAGGCGGGCGTGGTAGGTCGGTGACGTCAAGAGTTTGCTCCAAATTTGCTGGTTGTTGTTTGGAGACGAATGTGGTAGTAAAGTAAGTAAGTAAGTACGTTTTTATTTATATACCGCCTTTTCACTGCAGATCTGAGTCTCAAAGCGGTTTACAATTGTTAATTTTGGGCATTTGTCTCTCACTCCACACAGAGATGGGAGGGGCCAGTACAGGAGGCGCATGCCAGAACTATTGGACATATTTTTAGTGGTAGGGGAAACCGGAGTACCCGGAGGAAACCTACGCAGACACGGGGAGAACATGCAAACTCCACTCAGAAAGGCCCTGGTCCGACCGGGATTCGAACCCAGGACCTTCTTGCTGAGAGGCGAGAGTGCTATCCACTCAGCCACCGTGCCGCCGATAGTAATCCGTTCTTGTTCGTCTCCAAATATCAAGAAATTGAAGCCGGGGCAAGAGGAAAGTTTTGCAAATGTCATTGCTGCAGAGATGTTGTGGCTCTACTCCCCATGCGCTCCGTTAGTGGCAAAGGAGTTGGCTAAAGCTAGGCTAAATGCTAAAGCTAGTCTAAATACTAAATGCCTCACTCACTCTGGTACATTACAAACGCCACAGTAAACATCAGATCCAATGGAGAAAATCCAGGCCTCAGTACGAAATGAAATTAGTACGATGGTGTGGTCAGACCAGACAAGATTTCATTTTCAATTCATCTTAGTTGAATGCAAAAAGACAATCTTATTTTTAAATGTTTTCTTTTTTTTGTTGATGAATCTCCGACATGTCCTTTCAGTGAATTAGAATGCAGAAATGTGCTGAAGTAATTTTTACACCTCAGGAACATTGTTCGTCTGTGTTCGACAAGCCACTGCAGAAATCCTCCATCCTTCACCTTCGGACTCAACTACCGCAATATCCTCCTCCATCCTCTTGAATTAGGGCTGTACAAAAATCTATTGAAATTGAAATTAAATTGATTGGCCCTTTGTTAGTCTAACATTCTGGACAGCAACATTTTAGTGATCCCAACTAAGTCAGTAAGTCATCTTTATTTATTGTATATAGGTTTTCTCTGGTTCCCGGTGCATGTTGGCCTCCGACAGGGCTGCCCTTTTTTGTCACCGGTTCTGTTCACTGTATTTATGGACAGAATTTCTAGGCACAGACAGGGGTCGGAGGGGGTCCGGTTCGGAGACCACAGGATTTCATCTCTGCTGTTTGCAGACAATGTTGTCCTGTTGGCTCCAACGAAACAGGACCTGCAGCATGCACTGGGGCGGTTTGCAGCCGAGTGTGAAGTGGCTGGGATGAGAATCAGCACCTCCAAATCCGAGGCCATGGTGCTCGACCGGAAAAAGGTGCCTTGCCCTCTACAGGTGGGTGGAGAGGTCCTTCCTCTAGTGGAGGAGTTCAAGTATCTCGGGGTCTTGTTCACGAGTGAGGGAAGAATGGAGCGTGAGATTGACAGGCGGATCGGTGCAGCGTGCGCAGTGATGCGGTCTCTGTATCGGACCGTTGTGGTAAAGAGGGAGCTGAGCCGAAAGGCAAAGCTCTCAATTTACCGGTCAATCTTCGTTCCCTCCTTCACCTATGGTCATGAGCTTTGGGTAATGACCGAAAGAACGAGATCGCGGATACAAGCGGTCGAAATGAACTTCCTCCGCAGAGTGGCTGGGCGCTCCCTTAGAGATAGGGTGAGGAGCTCAGTCACACGGGAGGAGCTCGGAGTAGAGCCGCTGCTTCTCCACGTCGAGATGAACCAGTTGAGGTGGCTCGGGCATCTGTTCCGGATGCCTCCTGGACGCCTCCCTGGGGAGGTTCCGGGCACGTCCCACCGGGAGGAGGCCCAGGGGAAGACCTAGGACACGCTGGAGGGACTATGTCTCTCAGCTGGCCTGGGAACGCCTTGGGGTCCCCCCGGACGAGCTGGAGGAAGTGTGTGTGGATAGGGAAGTCTGGGCGTCTCTGCTTAGACTGCTGCCCCCGCAACCCGGCAACGGATAAAGTGGAAGAAAATGGATGGATGGATGGATGGATGGAGGTTTTCTCTGGGTCTCACTCCATTTTCTCCATTTGTCTCACTCCACACAGCGATGGGAGCGAGGTTGTCATGCAAGAGTCACATCCCAGACCTATTGTATATGTTTTTAGTTATAGGGGAAACCAGGGCCGGAGTGGGACAACATTTCAGGCCGGGAGCTTTTCATCCATTCAGGCCACCCCCCCCCCCCCCCCCCCCTGTCATTTACTCTTTACTCCAATAAACTGAGTAAACTGAATTGATTTAAATTCCCAAATGAAAGTATCTCATCTACACTCATAAGTAATCACTGTAGCATTCCCTTAAGCTTTATGGGTCTTTGATTTATGTAAAGGGTAGTGGTTTAATGAAACTAGTTGCACAAGGTCAAAGTTCACAAATATTTTAATATACTGAACATGAGAACTATCATTTACATCATAACAAAGCTTTAAGTTATTCATGTGAAAAAATGAATAAAATAAAAGTTGTGCAATACACACTATCCTAGTGAGTCAGCAGGCGTTGCATGAGTTTAGTTGTTTCTGCAACTTTATCAATAATGTCATCACTGTCAAGCTCCATGAGAATCTCTTTCTCTGCTGACATAAGCAAAAATGCTTCAAGATGCTCTTGACTGAGAGAGGTCCTTAATCTGTTTTTCACAAACTTAAGAATGGAGAATGTCCTCTCACAGGCCACTTGTGTCACAGATAAGGTTAATAAGTACTTGTAGGCTAGACCAATGAGATGGTAGGCATCTGTTAACAGATTATAACGCCTGAGGATTGTATAGCAGCATATGGGGCAATTCTTACATGAAGAACACACTGTGTTCTCCATTTCAATATCCTCTTGTTCTAAATCAGTGTGCTCCCCATCCTGAGGAAGCTCAATAGCCTGTCTAACTCTGTGGCCCTCCAGAGGAGGCAACTTTAGTGTCTCCCAATGATTGGCAAGGCTAATCAGTTCCGCCTGCAAGTTCTCCATTGTAGCTCGGTCATCAAATTTCAGTAGGCATCTACTCAGCTCCTCCAGTGCAGTTTCCTGCAGCCCTTTATCCCTTATTTCTGAAAAGTTTTTGGGATCCATGCAAGCAAAGTCTGAGCAGAGCAGTGCACTGGCAGCAAAGCGATGGTGAAGGCTTTCAGTGACTGTATCAAGGATGACATTATGGACCTTGATTTTGTAC